AATTTTTTGGAAATACATACATATGCAGTTTTGCCAATTTTACTATTAAATTTCATGACCAACATTTTTGCATTAAGATTTGCAGCTGTACCTGCTGCATTCGCTGTACAATATAAAGTTTTGGTGATTATCTTCACAAATCATCATAGTATAATCATATGAACATACATACATACATTCATATGTAATACCAAATCCAATACCCGAAGAAATTTATTTTTTGTGTGTTAAGAAAATTCCTACTGACTAATGTACACTGTACAATATGTGAGGCATGAATGGAATGGAGTGCGAGTGGATTGGCGACTAGACAAAGAGTAGGCCGATGGCCCACCCTCTTAAACACCCCTCTACTCTCCCCTGATGAGACGGAAATCCCGAAGAGAGTGGGGAGAAAAGAAAACAAACTGTTGGCGGCTGCTTTCTCAGTGAGAAGAAGAAGAGGAGGTAACGTCACGGGAGGGGCGTGAAGGAGTACGAAGCGAGGGGGAGGCAAGGCCGCAATTAATTACAAACTTACCCAGCTGTCCCCACACGTAGCCCCCGTTTTTCTCTTCTTGTACTTCCTCCTTTCCTTTCTCTTCTCTCCCGCTTTGTGTCTGTATGCGAAAAGTGGCACGTATCAATGTTGAAAGCATAAAAACACAAAGAGACCCACAAGAGTCGCTCTCTCGCAGGCAAAAAAAAAAACAAAAAAGTAGGAGACAAAGCAGAAGAATCGGAGAGTAATGCAAATGCCTACGCTGAAAAAAACGGCAGCTTAATATCAAATAGAGTAATATAGTTGTTTAGTTACATACATACTTATGTATATATATTTATGAGTGTTCAAATCCCAAGGCAGCCCAATTTGTCTATTTCTTATCCATAGTAAATGTCCTTGTTGTTATCTAGTTTAATTTGATCTCATCATATCCATATTTTTTCTGTGTGAAGTCGCTCCTTACATTACCCTTTTTTCTTGTTGCTTGCTTGACCAAATTATAAATACCCGCACACACATGTGCTCAAGTGTAAAAAACAACAACCACCTTGGTAAAAATGGCAACAGTCTGCATGTATTTTTGCTTTTTTTCCTGTTTTCTGGTAGACAGATGAAATCCATTGAAAATAGAGTATGTACTAAAAATCTAACAATGCTCCAAACACAAAGTCATTTCTTAAATGCAGCCAAATCAACAAACATACAGGGATGTGCTTGGGTGTGTTTGCGAGTGCTTGCAGGCCGACAAACATGCGCAGGCTGAAAATCTGCTGACGACGCTAAGGCGGCATTTATCACTCCAAAAAATGGGGGCCTCCGAGGGGTACGCGCATTGGGAGTCATTGATTTTCGTTTATGAGTCGAGCAGGCGACGCTCTCACTTTTTATACGTTCATTCACACGCGGCACAGTGGGGCAAAAGCGAGCAAAACGAAACCATTTTCGTAAATGTACATTTATGTATGTATACGTTAACATTAACTTCCACATGCCAACGGTTATACTAAAATATTTTTTTTCAGTAAGGACTTTCGATATTTATTAGTGCACAGTGCATTAAATGTAAAATTCTAAACTTCACAAATGTGTACCATTAATTCTTACGTAATAAATATACAAATTTTCTGCCTCAGTGGGCTGTAAAATAGGGTTGACATTGACCTAGGGTTGTTTTCAACTCTACTTACCTGTGGCTTAAGACTCTTACCAGGTACATATTTACCCACATGCTTGTATCTGCACTATTTATGGATGTACATATAAGAGCAAGACTTTAAAACGTTGGATAATCCTCAACAATACGAGCCATCAAAAGTAATCCGCTAATATCTTATGTTGCTCCGGACGGGGCTTAGAGGAATTCAAAGTAAATGAACTTAAGAAGCTAGGTCATTGATACATAGAATAAGATGCATTGATTGAAAAGTCATATCTTTTAGTTGCCAGGATTTATTATTAATATGAAGGGCATAATTATAAGGAAAGGTAAATGCCGAAAGTTTTTAAATTTTTTTATTATTCATTTTTGTTTTGCAATTACTTCAGTTCCTTAAGCATACTACCTTTAATTGTGCTTTCCCCAAATTTAATCCTGGAAATCCTTTGAGTTTACGTTTTTATCCCAATGTGCTCTCCGGTTAAAGTGGAAAATGCAAAGAGAGCGGCATCGTCAAGGGAAGAGCGAAAAGAGCGAAAAATAGAGAATGTCTAGAGGGGGGAGGGAAGGAGAAAGGATAATGGACAAGGAAGAGAATGGGGAATTTAAATATGCTATTGATAATTTAAATTAAAGCCGAATGCAATTCGAATTTGCATTTAAGTGGCGGAGATTCGTTTTCGTTTTTACTTCCCCAGATTTTGTTTTTCTTAGCGCGTGATTTACATTACCTGTGAAATGAAATGAAATAAAAGCCAGGCCAAAAAGCGCGTGCTAAAGAATTAAAGGCAATATACGAAAAACATCTCGAAATGGAATTCAAACAAAATGAAAATAAAGTGAGGAGCTGATTTCTCTGCCGGCGTCTGCGTCGACTGCGCTGCTCGCAGGTAGCAGCTTATGTTTGTGTGTGTGCGTCCGATTCGGTTTTTATTTACTTTGTTCCGCTTGCTTTTCCAGTCGCTCTGTTTTTTTTGGTTTCTTCTGTTATCGGGCAGCAAATTGAAAGCAATAAATACTTAATTGTTAGCTTGTTGTTCTTGCCGTTACTGTTGTCATTGTTGCCGCTTAATTACGTAATTCCGAATTTATCTGGGCGACTTGAAGAAAATGCAAAAGAGCGCCAATCGTGTGGAAATGCAGCGAAAGAGAGGGGAAAAGGGAGAGGAAAGGCACATAAGAAATCAGAACGGTTTATCACAAAAGCATAAGAGGCAGAGATAAAGAGATGGGGATCATCGCAAAAAGAGATTGCCAAGTAAAGTATCAACAAATCACGATATCACGAATCAAATAATTGACTTTAGCACTAGACACATGCAAAATAAAGAAAAACCGTAAATTTATTTGTACAATAATAAACCCAACAAAACCGTTGTGGCTTATCCTAATAAATCGACGTGTTTAAAAGTTTTAAAACAGGTAAAAACAATTAATACTCTCAAAAAAAATTATGTTAACCATTTAGTGACTTTACATTGTTATAAATATAACAAAGAGAGAGTAAAAAAGGCGCGCAGGGGAAATGTTTTGTTTGTTTGTTCTCACTTGTGACACAATTAGCTGATAAAGTTCTTAGATGTTGTTTCCCGCAGCCTCTGGGAATGTGAATCATCATCATCGGAGCTTTTGTTCAGGGGAATTTTAAATATGAATAAACAAAAACCAAAACAGAAACAAAAACTTTTCTTTTTTCTGATACACATTTCGCACAAACACAAGCAAACATTATTTCGTCATCAACAAAAACAAGAAGCGGAGCAGACGTCATCATCATCGGGGCCTTAATAATAGTACGCAAAAATGATAAACAAAGATCCCCCCACTCTCAATTCTCCTCCGCTTCCCCTAACCTTCCTTTTTCCACCCACAACGCACGCTCATGAACTCTTCCCTCTCGCACTCTCTTTGTTCAGTGCAAATTTGCATTGTCTCTTTGTGCTTGCACACATACATCCTCATACATATGTACACACATAATCACGCTCACTGATGAGTGCCAAAACTGACCTCACAATTGTTGTTGCTATGATTATTTGTACTTCGTTGTTGTTGTTTTGGAGCATTTTAAAACTGTAAAATGAGTTGAACTTGTTGGGGGCTTTAGATTTTAGTTGCGATTTCTGGTAGAATCCCCTTTAAAACATAATACAAAGTTTTGTGAACTTTATACCTTAGTTTTATAATAAATTTCCGCCCTTTAGCCGCCTAAAATTAGATAATTTGAAATTAAAAATACAATGTACATAGAAGTGCTAAAGAATGACAACTAATATGTTTTTAATTCCAATCGATAGGGTAAACAAATTCTTATGATGACAGATTGTTTATTAAATTAGGGTTGTTAAACTATTTTAAAGCTATGTTGGTTCGAAGTCTAGATTATATGAACATTCTTATTTCTAACACAAGAATTTTTGATATGACATCTCAAAATTTGTTAAAACCCGTAAAACTAATATATTTGGCAGGACCCCTTTTAACCTCACGCTTGATTTGGCACTTGGATGAACTTGAATTATTCAATTTCATTCGTGTGGATCATCTCTTAAATAGTAATTTCCACAAGTGAGGATGATTGCCCTAGGAAGTATTTTGCATTTTCAAATCCAGCCAAAGTCACTTTTTTTTACATAATAAAGAGGCAGCAACAACTATGCGGATTATGCTCACCGCCCACAACCACCCAACCACCCACAATAACACAAACACACCACCCACTGACCAGCGTTTTGCTTCCGTTACAAATAAGCAAAAATCTTTGCGACACATACATATACATTTATACAGCGGGGGCAGAATAAATAGCATTGAAAATGTATTTAACTTTTGTTTTTACTGCTGTTTTAAAGGTACTAGTTTTTCGCCAAAGATGTTCTCGTCATAAAAACGAAAAAATTATTTTATTAATAATAAAAAACGTTTCAGTATTTAGGCTTTAAATTAACAGAGTTTACCAAAAAAAATATTTACTTGTACCCTTAAAGTCATACATCTTGTCAAAAAAAAAAACAAAGTCAAAAAATTTGAGTTTTACCTGGAAGAAACTTTAAGCTAAAGGTGATATTACCTTGTGTCCTTAAAATTGAGATAACGGCGTATTTGCAGTGGCAGATACTATTATTTCTGCCGCAGCTGTGTATATGCAGCACGCACGTAGGCCAGTTGCGCTCCCTCTCTCTCTCTCTCTCTCTTCTCTTAACAACTCTCTTAAGGCGTTCTCTTAGAGAGAGCGCCATCACTTCCGTTTCAATGGCGAACATCTGTGCGCTCTGCTCTGCCGACGCGAGCAGCGACTGCGAACGTCTTTCATTCAGCGTTTGCGTTTTTCACAACGAAAATTTCATGACGAAAATTTCAATTCGTTTCGAACGCGAGGACCGTGCGGACGTGTGCGGCTGGAAAAGCAACGGTGGAAAGCCCATTACTGACTTCTCTTGCGCTCTCGCCGCCGTAGATTCCCCTCACCTCTAACCCTCAACAGGCGGCCAAAAAAAACTTACAAAATAATAAAAACAATTAAAAGTGAGACGCCCCCGCCCCTCTGTAGTTTTGTGTCAATTGTGTGCCTAAAAAAAACAACCAAAAACAAACAAAACTTATCTATTTTTGTTGAATTTTTTTTGTGTTATAAATGAAAGCAAAAAACAAGTGCAAATTTTGATCAAACCCAACAAATTCAAAAGTCCTGGATTATTTTGAATTTTGGCAAAAAAAAAACAAAGACAACAACAAAAAGCGGCAGCCTCGACTAACGGTAAACAGGCAAGTGAAATCTCAGGCAAAAATCAAATGAAATAAAGAAAGAAACAGCAAAGGCAGACAGAAGAAGAAGAAGGAACAGCAAGTGCAAGAGAGTAAAGCAAAAGAGCTATAAAAAGAGAGCATCCAAACGAGCGTGTGTGTGTGTGAGCGTGTGTGTGGCTTCCTTATTTTGTATAAATTTATTCAAATTCATCAAAAATCAAATCAAATCAAAGGAAGAAAAATCAAAGACAAGCTAAGGAACAAACAGAAACGCAACGCTCGCTCGCTCTTTGAAAAAAACGCACAATGACCTTGCCCACAAACACACACGCATCTGCAAACGACGCCGGCAGCGGCAACAACAACAACAATAACAACAACGGCAGCAGCAATAACAACAACAACAGTGACGAAGATTCAGACATGTTTGGACCACCCCGCTGCTCCCCGCCCATCGGCTATCATCACCATCGATCCCGAGTGCCCATGATCTCACCGAAATTGCGACAACGCGAGGAGCGCAAGCGAATCCTTCAGCTGTGCGCCCACAAGCTGGAAAGGATCAAGGACTCGGAGGCGAATCTGCGACGCAGTGTCTGCATCAACAACACCTACTGCCGACTGACCGACGAACTGCGTCGCGAGAAACAGATGCGATACCTCCAGAATCTGCCCAGGTGAGAGTCTGATATGATCTTTTCCCAAACAAAAATTATACCAACACCCCAGTGATCTAGCCTAAAAGAAAATCAAAGCTTACACCCTTTTAGTTTATTTGTTCGAAAACAAAAGAACATTCTCATAATTTAATTACTACTCATACCTACAGTTTTTGAAGAAAAATGGAAAGCTATAAACCAGTGACCTTAATTAAAAAATTACTAAGTTTAGGTTAACTATCAAGTTGCCTAACACTGTCTTTATATAAATTTTTACCTAACCCCTCAGACGGGAAATTAATGGTGTGACAGAGAAACAGTGTTTATAACCAGCGATCTTACATGGAGAGCAAACTGAATTAGAGAGTTAATAGGTGGTTTGTGAGGAAATCAATAGTATTACCTGATATATAATGTGTTATAGCTTGTAAAGATAGTATTGGAAATACTTAGAAATCCATTATATCTTATGGGTCTTAAAAGGAAATTGGGTTCATAACCTGTAAACTTAATTGGAAAGAGAACATTTTTGTGACATTTATTTTTTCATGGAAGCTATGAGTTATTTTTTCTGATTAATATGTATTGTAATCATTATTCAAGTATAAGCATTACTAAATGTTTAATTTGAACGCTCCTACTCAGAGCTACCTATTTATATTTTTAAATGCAGCTAATCAAATGAGATCTTGCTTGAAAAGCTACGAAAAAACCCCGTTGTAGGTTACTACGTCCGGAGTTTAAAATATTAATATTTAAAGACAGTCTGTTGATGAATGGCGTTACTAAAAAAAATTTTCAAATGCTTTACGGCATAAATAACGATTAAATGGACACTTCAAGTGCAGCAGATGAACATTTTGAACACCAAACCCATTTAAAACGAATTTTATTTATATTTCCCACACACAATCCGAATAATTATTTATAAAAGAATAGAAAACACACAGGCATTGTTGGGTAGTTAAATCCAAGTAAAATGGATTTGCAATTCAGCAATTATGCCTTCAAAGCCCAATTAAGAGACACAATTCTGCTTCATTTGTTTTGCGTTTGTTTTTTTTTGGGATTTCCTGAATTGTACAGGCAATAAACCAAAGCCAAAAGTCGTCTTAACCCGACACTTTTGACCGAAAACCCTTTGATACCTGATACAGTATGTAAATTTTTCCAAATAAATTAACTCATTATTCGAGTGGGTGGAGTGTATCTCGCAGTATTATTTCAACCTCCAGTGCAGGTTACACTCATCATCATCACGATGAGCTTAACAATGATGATGTGTATGTCATGTGAACTGTGAACTTGGGGGCGACGCCCACGCGGCGGATGCTTGATTTGTTTTTGCCCTTTTAAAGTGCGTGGTGCGTATTGTGCCTCTATATATACACATCTATATATATATATATATATAAATATATGCATATATATTCGTGCGGTTGCCTGGGTTTTAAAGGTTAAGAGTTGAGAGTGGGCGACTTTGCTCTTTTCCCAGTTGCGTGGCATTTGCGGTAGTTAAAACTGAAAGCTGAAAACTGAACAGTAAGCAAACGCGATAATGCAAGGTGTCGAGTTGTATATATATAGATATGCACTATATGTGTGCGATGCAACCGAAAACGACCGATTGTTGACAGATAGTAACTGTGCAAGGGTTTTTGAACCCTTAAATAATCAGCCAAATCTACTGATTGCCACGTGTCAATTATTAGCCGTTTAAGTAGGCAATCAACGTTGGCTGTTGCATTTTAGTGGAAATCAGGTATATTTTTGGTTAATACAGGTTTCAAAATTATGCAATTATTGAAGCCTTCAATTTTGAAAAGGTATTTGATTTATAGCTGACACTGCAATGTGCAGTATTTTCTTTCAACAATACAATGGAAAATGCAGAATTAGGACTTTGATTTGATAGTGATTATTATTTTAGTAGCTTACACTTTATTTCCTACAATTTGTATCTGTGCCTTCAACTAGTACAACGTGTCAGTTGTGTGGTGCCAACGATGATGCAATTATTCAGGCCCAAATACAAATACTAAACAGCATTTTCTATGGCTTCCATAAGGACTATCTATCCGTCGTCGTCGTCTGCCCCTTTCCACTAGCTCAATGCCGATGATACTGCAATGTTGCAGCAACAATCCGACAGATACGAATATACTTGTGAAGATACAAGGGGATATACATACAGATACGGATACAAACACAAGGAAAGCGGCATATTTCATAGCCAACAACATTCAGGCCAAGCTCAGGCCAAAAACCAAAGAAAACCCAAAGCAAAAAGCAAAAAGCCGTGCAAAACGAGCAGCGAACCAAAGCAAAGCAAAAGCGAAGCCAACCAAACCAAAGCAAAGCTAAGTAAAGCAAAGCAAAGCGAAGCGTAGCTAAACGCAGATACTCAGATACTCAGAGACATAAAAACGCGACACGAAAACGAAACTAAAAACGGAGGAGAAGCCCAACGGAAACAATGGAAAAAGTCGGTGGGATTTTCCAACATTTTTCGGCCAGCAATTGGGAAAAGGGCCAACATAATTCGAAAATCCAAATAGCCATAGAGCAATTGGGTAATTGGCGTGTAATTGCTATCAAATAAAGGTAGATTATCCAAATGAGCCTCAAAAAATATCTATAAATCAAAAGATACATTTTTTCGAATAAACATATACAATTCCAAAAACCTTATTAGTTATCGAGTTTCAGAAATCTATGTAAAACACAAATGAGGAAAAAGTTATTACAATCGAAAAGTGTGGAAAGATCTAGATACTTTCATAAAAAGTTAATGAGCTTAAAGATAGGTATTTGAATCTCGATTAAATAGGGTTATATTTGCAGAGAATCAAGCAAATATCTACAGTATGGGTAAAAGTAAAAAAGCAAACCCAATTGATATGTTAAATATTCAACCAATAACCAATTGAAAACCCAAAGATAACAGCAAACATTCCACTTAATCAATCAAAAAAATAAAATACAGGAACAAAAATGCACACACGCATCGGCCAAAACAAGAAAAAAAACAGGCAAAAAAAATAATAAAAGAAATACAGAAAGAAATCAAAGCCAGCAAATAGGAATTTTTACATACATATAAACAATGTCTCTAAACATTCTTTTATTTTTTTTTAATTTTTGTATCTGCTGTTGGTGTGTGCTAAAAACAAAAACAAAAAACAAGAAAACGTTGAGCTCGTTGAAATAATCACGTTCCACTTGCAACAAAAAAAAAAAAGAGCAGCTACAACAACAAAGAGGCGATGATAGCCAAAGCAATTGTTGTTGTTTTTTTTGTGGGCACATGCCATCAACAACAGCAACAACAACAACAACTCAAGAAGCAACAACAGCAACAACAACGGCAGCAGCAGCGAGAAAAACAACAACATCCAGTGCACTAAACCTTCAGACTTGCCAACACATAAATGTTTGTGTCTGTGTGTCATTATTTTCGCCTTGCCTTTTACACACGTTCGCTGCGTCTTTAGCGCTATTTTTTGTATAATTTTTTTAAAAATATCTGCATATTTTTTTAATTTAAAGAAACACATGTTGTACATTTTCGAATAATTATATGGTTTTCACCATAAAGTCACATGTACTTGCTTTTTTAGCTAGCAATCAAAAGTAGGTTTTTAGTTCAAAGAAAGAACACAAATAAAAAAAATGTATTCATATACTTGCCTACTTAAATGTATCTAAATGTTAAATCAAAAGGAACACAAAGCTGAAAACATAATCATAAAAACATACAAATTTCTCAAATTAAGAATACTCCTATACCATTTGTTTCATTAGTCAAACTTAATAGGATTTATATATTTGGCATCTCATCTTACCATTTCCCTATATGAGCACTTCCTTAACAGTTAACTGCCACCACGCCCCCTGTTTTGGCTTTTTAGCCCACCTGCTCTTGGCCATATATAATCTATTTATCTCTCTATCATCAACGAGCATGCTTTCTTTATTTCTTCTTCTTTTTGGCCCGCTCGCTTGCTTTCTTTCATCAAAGAGCCAAAGGAGAAAACAAACAAACAAACAATTCAACATACCGTTACACGCTTTGCAAAGTTAATTCATCGCCGATTTTCCTTTTGGTCAGTGCCTCGCGTTTCCGTTTTTTTTGCTTTTGCTTTTGCATTTGCCTTTTTATACCCTTGCAGAGGGTATTATAATTTTGGTCAGAAGTTTGTAACGCAGTGAAGGAGACGTTTCCGACCCTATAAAGTATATATATTCTTGATCAGGATCAATAGGGGAGTCGATATAGCCATGTCCGTCTGTCCGTCTGTCCGTCTGTCCGTCCGTCCGTCTGTCCGTCTGTCCGTCTGTTTCAATACCGTTTGCGAGCTCAGTATAAAAGCTAGCGATCTGAAACTTTCATAGTCGTCCTAAAACAAGTGTACGCAGATCAAGTTTGAAAACCGCCCCGATCGGATGTCTATATCCTATAGCTCCCATAGGAACAATCGGATATAACTTGCAAGAATGGAAGATATTTCGCGCAGTGTAAAAGCTATTGACATAAATCTTTCCAAATCTTATTTTTTTATGCGTACCTTGATCAGAGTAAAAGCGCGTGACGATCGGACGTCTATATCCTATAGCTCCCATAGGAACAAATGGGTAAAATCGGTTAAAATTTAATGATTTTTAGGATATTTCACGCAGTATACAAGCTATTGACATGAATCTTTCCAAATCCTATTTTTTTATGCATACATTGATCAAGGTGAAAGCGCGTGCCGATCGGACGTCTATATCCTATAGCTCCCATAGGAACAATAGGGTGAAATCGGTCCAAATTTGATGTAAGCTACTAACATAAAATTTTCCAATTCTTATTTATTTACGCATATCTTGATTAGGGTAAAAGCGCTTGCCGCTCGGAAGTCTATATCATAAAGGAGATAGGAAAAATTGTTAAAGGCTGCGAAAGTATCCCTTTTTTTCTATTTGTATATGACATTTTTGCAGTATAAAAGCAATTGACTTGAAACGATGAAAAT